TTTGTTCACGATGAGGACTAGAGTAACTTTTCTAAAAGAAAAACCGAGGCACCTCTATAATTTCAAATCAGCATACAGTAGCTACCAAACAGGCTGTTGGTCTTTGACCCCACCACCACCACCACGGCCGTGCATGTTTGCAGAACTATGAAAATCTTTTTTTTTGTTTGTTTTAAAGGAAAAGAGCAGAAACAGACTTTGGTTAATTAACCACGCTTTTAGAAAGTAATATATCATTTTTTAAAACATATCAGTGCATACTTCTTATATGAAAATATACACTATTGTATTTCATTCTCAAAGAAAAAAAAGGAAAACATTTAAAAACAAAAGCGAACCAGCCAAAAACACAATATATTAGCCATTTCTGTTGTTGTTTAAATTTTTTTGTGTGTTTTTTTTAAACGCTACACTTTGTTCAGGTTACACTTTTTTGTCTTTTTTTGTCTTTTTTGTAAATGTTTTTTTTGTCATCTCTTCATGCAATTGTACACGTTTGTAGCCTTTGAGAATAAATAAGCTCCATTTCCCCCCCACATCTCTAAAAACTGCAGCATTTTCAACTAAAGTCATTTTTTTTAAATCGTGCAATTTTTGTGTTTCTTTGCAACACCCCTTTTTAAAAATGGAAAATATATATAATATATATATTTATATTTATATATAGATAACTTTTTAAAACTAAAACCCTATACAAACGCCAAAAAAAAAAATTCTTTTTTTCCAAATTAAAAAAAAAATTATACACAATGTAACTGTCAACAGTACGGATGAACACGAGAAATAAAATTAAAAAGATCTCAAGAAATATATTTATAGAAATACAAACAAGGGTGTTGATTTCATAGATTGTCATTCTTTTGCTTGTCTCTCAAAAATGAGGTGGAGGAAGAAAGAGGAAAGGGGAAGAAGTATATATAAGTCCCAGTGAGGAACAACGGACAGTTATTAACCCAGATAGTGAGAAACACAACAAAGACCTTATCTGAGTGAACAATGATGCAATCGCGGGCATCTCGTTTATACCCTCCCCACCCACAAGGGCATGTCAGCCATACTGAAAGCCCGATCGGTAGACAGAAGTTGTCTCTGTACCAGATTCACCCCTGACCTCTGCCGGATGTTTGGAACTGAGCTCTAAACCCTTCCTTTTTGTAAATCTCTGCCCTCCAAATCCTGCTTGGTTTTCTTTTGTAGAGTAACCAAGTTGAATTATTCTTTTTTTTAAAAAAGGACCCAAAGGAGAAGGTCAAAGCCTCTCCCACCCCTACCCAAAGTTTGTCTACAGCAATGTTCATGCAGCATTTATATGATTACAAGATATCCTTGGTTAATACCTGTGAACTACTGTGGGGGGGGGGGTGGATTGGAGGGATGCCTCCTGTGAAGGATGCGCTGAGGTACGGGCCCATCGTTACTGCTGTTATGTCTCCTGATGGGAAGGGAGAAAGACCCATTTCTCGGCAGGATGCCGGGGAACCTGCCGCCACCGTCTTTGTTTTGGGTGGTCGGGGAAGACCAACAAGGGGGCGGACGGAACCGACGTGGTGGACTTGAGAAGCCCAGGAACAGCGGCAAAAGCTGGAACATCCTGCTGGGACAGTCAAGGATGTGTGCCTAAGGGGCGCTGGAGTGCACAACTTGGTGAGAGGTGCAGAGCTGATCTGGCTTGACCCCCCTTAAGCCCCTGAGGACACGCCCTCCCCTCCCCCTCCAGCCGGCTCATTCCTGCCTGGAAAGCTGTTACAGCTCCAACCACAGCTTCCGTTCTCACCCGGCCTCTCTACCCTTCCCCAGCCGACAACTTGGTGGATGGGAGCAATGGTTGCTCTCCCCCCCGAAAAGGAACACTACAAGAATTCCAGCCATAATTACAGCTAAAGTGACAGGGAGATTCTGGGGACGCCCCCGGCCTTCTGCACCAGGGGGTGGGGTGGGGGGAGTCCAGTGAACATGGCCGAGGAAGCAAGCGTGCAGGTGCATGTTGCTTGGAGACCCACAAAAACCTCTTGCCGATAATGGATGTAAGCAAAACGAAGCCCCATAAAATTTACAAACCGAGCCCTGAATTCGCTCTCGCCCGGCAGCTCTCGAGTGGAGGAACTGAACACCTGTCTCTTCGATGCCTCGCAAATCCCCTCCAGAGCTCCCACGCAGCCCTTCAGTACAAGATTCCTGAGCTAACTATGAATGCCTCCTTTCTTTCTTTTTTTTTTTAAAAAAAATCCCAGTGGTGGAACACACGGTTTTGCAGTGCTAAGGGAGGTGGCCAAGGCTAAGACACCCCTTTCTACAGGCTCTGCCAGCGCCGGTTAATTTGATCGACTTTATCTTAGATTCTCAAGAGCTCCCAAGTTGCAAGGGACATGCCACATCTTGGCTACGTCCCAGGAGCGCCGTGAACATGCAGACAGGAAGGGGGGGGGAGGGGAGGCAAGCAAGATTTTGCAAAAGCGAAAAGCTGGACGGCTTTAGAAGATTGCACACGAGCCACCCTCGCATCATAGAGAAGGGGAGAACCGTGTATCCTGCCGTAAGCTCCTTTGAAGAAGAGCCCGATAAAAGTGAGACAGATAGACAGACAAGACCACAACACGAGGGTATACTCTTATATGGCTGATCAGAGGAAGAAGGAAGCTTGCGAGCTAGTGTTTTCTTCCCATGCAAACTGGAAAAATAGCCCTGGAGACTGTGCAATTGTGCTCAAACTGACTCATCCATTTCCAACTTTTATGTCACATAAAGGCTTCCCATATACGACCGGGGGGGGGTGTTATACCTTAAAAAAATTGTGTTTAGCCAATCTGTAAGACTGCCTAAAAAACACATTTTGATCGACTTAGAAGGGTGCTCCCAATAAGCAATTTTAAGGTTGTTTGTTTGTTTTTTAAATTCATTACGAGTACTACTGACTTGCAGAAGGTCAAGTCACCAGTCTTCGAGGTGTTCCCTTGTGTACAACTCAGAGACAGAAATGGAATACCTCTCCTAAGATGCCTCTTCTTCTGTAACAGAAAGAGGGAGATAGAAGGGGAGATGCCCCTTATGGCAAAGGAGTGCCTCTTCTCACAGAAGGGGGAATGCCTCTTCTAAGCTGATACCTGTTTCAACCCATGCATGCTTCATCTAAAAATTAAGGAAGCATACGGGTTTTTTTTTCCTTCAGAACTATTGCTCACACACAAATTTATGCATATTGAATCAATTAATCAATGAGTTAATTGACTAAACCACACACAGTTGACTAATATTCCCTTAGCTGGATCACAGCCCTACAGAAAACAGAACGTGACAAACAGCTGCGTGACATAAACGCATGAGACAGAACGCCAGGATCCACTACAGCTTTCTGACAAGTGTACACCCAGCAGCAAGCCCGGGCTTGTTGCTGTGTAATGTCTGAATGGGCCTCCAGCAGCCTGAAGTAAAGATCTCCACAAGCTAAGGAGGGCCGTGTCTCCGTAGCATCACTCCTCCGAGATGCAAGTCACCACATCCCTCATTCATCTAAGCTTTGGAAACGTCTGAGAACACTGCTACCTTGTAATGCTGGAGCACTACAGTGAAGACCAGCTGCACAGACCCAGTTAAGTGTCCACCCAATAAAGATCACTGGAATCAGCCTGGACTCTCTAAACAATCCCTCCACTGCCCTGGTCAACTCGTTGCCTGCTCCCCTTCGTCTGTTGGTATTTCCTTCACCGCGTATCCCTCTCTTCATTGCCTGGAGGCAATGGGGTTTAAACTACCCAGCAATGAGACCGGCAACTCTCACTGTGGGCTGAAGCACGCTAGTGTGCTGTGAGGAAGGCACAAAAGTACCTTGACGAACCGAGCTGCCGTGTTGGATGTACCCAAAACGCTGCACCTGGGAGCAAAGAGGCCTGGCGCAGCATGTCCGTCCCCCCTGACAATATAGGGTTGTGTGGCGCCATCCCCTAGGGTGGGAAGATGAACCAGGGTTCCCTGAGACAGCCCATACTACAGCCGGCAGATGCAAGGGAAAAACAAATCCCAGGAACACTTCTGTGTCCCAGAAGCCGCGGTTCAAACCCCTGAGCCCTGATTTATTGGGGGAATGCCGGGAAGGGACAGCAATGGGGCTATTCTGAAGCTGGGGGAAACCCGAAGACCCGCCTGCCCACTGTTGGGGGAGCTGATCATGAAAATACATGCATGCCTTTTCGAGCATCCAAATGAACGGTGGCATCCGACTGTAATCCAGAAAAAGGGTATGAAAGGTTTGGGAAATGCTGTGTTAGAGATTCAACTCTCTTAAAGCTATTGCGTGTCTTCAGCCTGGGCTGACTTAAAGCAATGCTCCTCGAACCCCCAATTCTGGAGGCAGCCCTGGTGCAGGCCACCCCCCAGCCTCTGGAGATAAGCTCTCTTCCAGTTCTTTTAAACCTCTCTGACATCCAAAGGCACTCTTCTTCCAAAATTAGGACTAACCGTGCAACTGGCGTGTTCTAGTCAAATCTCTCGCCTAGCCCCCTTCTCTGCCACATCCGTGCCCGCCCCAGTCCGTCTGCCACCACCACCGCCAGTGTCTGATTCCCTTCCCCCTTCCACGCTAGAAGTGTCTATTTTATTGGTTCCGGGCTAGCACAGGGCCAGCGTGAGTCAGTGTGTCAAGTGGGGCCCAGCGCCTCTGAGAGTGTCTGGTTATCGGTGAGGGATTTACATATCCGACTTCTCGGGACGCCCCCCAGAGGATTCTCCGGAGTCTCTTTGTACTGCATAATGTCACCTGCTGCGCTAGAACGGACGCCTACAAAATCCTAAAGCTATTTCTCAGGCAGTTTATAATAAGCCCCCGTTCCCACCCCCACCCACGCCTCCCTGTGCCTCCCCCTCCCTCTCCCAACTCCCTTCCTCGTTCC